CCATTCCACTCCTTCTAAAGTTTCCTGTGTCCTATTTCCAGTCCCAAATGGAAAATGGAAAACGCTTTATGCACTATTGATATAGGCTTACAGCCAAAATGTTGGGATTTTTTTCCTTTGGTATCCCTCTCTTCTCACACCAAAAAAACCTTTGTTGCTCATTTATTCCTTGGTATGTATTTGGATAATTTCTTATTTCATGTATCGTATTATCAATGATGATTACATGTGGGTTTTGTTTTCTATTTCTTCTTTTGATATTTATTTAATTATTGGGTCTATTCAATTTTATGATCCTTTGTTCTTGGGATCCATGTGACGTGTGTGTGTATGTATATATATATATATATATATATTTATGGTGACTATGTATGATACATAGTCTGTTATGTTATCTAGAATTTTTTATTGGTGTGCTCCTCGTTCATATTCTATTTGCTTTATTTGTATTTGTATACTCTGCTGTAAAAGAGTTAATGAGGGAGCACCCTGTTCATATCGTGGTTTAACCACATCTATGTCTCATTAAGCCTTTACCCCTATGGGGTGCCCTCCTTTGTAATTACTTTCCAGCCCCTAACGTAACTTAAAGAAATACATGAATAATTAACATTCTAATATTGCAAACAGGAACAGATACCAAATAAAATAATATGCATAAAATAGTCTATACACTTATGTAGCAGTAGCGTGAAAACAGGTCACGAAAATAGATCGCAATATAGCATGAAAATAAGTCAGAATATCGGTAAAAAGCAAACAAACAAAAATGTCAAAAAAAACTTATCAGATTGTATTACATTAAAATACAAACAAGATAGTTCTGCTTTGCTTTAAGATACATACTGTTAGAAAAAAAAGAGCGAAACGCAAGCCATATGGAAATAAATGTGCTATTGTAGGCATTGGTTTAATTTCGCGCTGGTGGACATCTTTATAAAAGGCATTTATGTTTTCTATAAACACATTTAAGTAGAGATATATAATGATTTAATCAGTGCAATCTCTAATACTCCTCTATTGTGTACAGACAATTTTACATAAAGAAGTCATATGGTCAGATGTAAAAGAAAATATACATGCCAGGTTTTTTTCTTTTATAAAATTTTTGAGTGCTATAATATATATATAATTTTATTATTTGTTACATATAGAGAAGTAATAACAATGCCCAGCAAATGTTGATAGAGTTAAGAATAATATGACTTAATAACTGTGAAATGTTAAGATATTACATTTTCAATTGAAGGGAAAATAACTAAATTATAAAATTTATCTGAGTGACCTGAGTAGGAAATTTTTATTTGCGAAATCACTCTTTAATGAATAAAACTTTGAAGGTATTTGTTTTGTTATTTTTATAGAGAGAAAAACATCAGTTGAGAGAAATAAGTGTATAATAAAGAATAGGTGACATTGTATTACCTCTCAGAAAGATTTACTTGTAATTATCACAGAGTGTTTTGATGGTAAAATGATGTTGTGGACAAAAGGCGATTTTAAAATTATAATTTTTTTTTAATAAGAACAAAACAATTTGACATGCAATTGCAATTGAATAAATATAAGTAAAAAAATTTTTTTGATATAGGCATTGTATTTTATTTTATATTTTTTTATTAACTAAATAGTTTTTTTTTGTTAGCTAAAAAAAAAAAGATTTTGTATATGTAAGAGAAGATTATTTTTTTATTTGTTTTGTAGATGTCCCTGGCCATATTTCATATAAAAATAAATAAATAAAAGGGAACCTTATTCGAGTAATTCTGGAATAATATCCTTAGTACTGCATGGAGCATGAACACAAAAACATTGATCAATCAAAAGAACAACACATTTATAAAAAATGAGGCATGCAAAACAAAGTTAATTATTTAGGTGATGTGAATATTTCTTTCTGCCAACTACCCGTAACACCCACACATTCAGTGATACACAAAAAGGGGTACAACAAGGTAAGTGTGCTTATCAAATAGTACCACAGTAACAAGGCAAATAGTATAAGAAATATTGAGAGCAAAAGTGTAAGTAAGTTATTGAATAGCATTCAACCAGGGTCAGGTCATTAAATGGCTAATCCTGTCCAATGTTAAAGAATTGCGTCAATTATCTATGACAATAATGCCCTGGGTAACCAATGATTTAAAATAATATGGTAAGACTCACATTTTGGTGCATACCAGAAGCACCTTCGTAAGGGACCCAAAATAAAAAAAGTAAGCTGTTTTGTCAATGTGCCTTTTGGGCAGTTACACTACATTTTGGTTGTAAAAAATTAAAATAGTGGACAAATCAAGCTACTGCGCAGCCCTCTAAAGGATTTACAACAGAAAAGTAATTTTAGTAACAAAAGGGACCCCTTGAAGTTATGACAACGAGAAGATCAAACAGTAAAATATATCCAAGCAGAATTTGAAATAAGTCACATAGATTTCTTTGAACGTATGTTTTCTTTTAAGTGCTTTTGTGTTATTTCCCCTAGAAGGTAGTTTGTATGTTTTTTAAATATGAAAAAAAGAATCATCTTAAGTATTGGGAGATCTTCAATAACACACAACACTTTAGGTATGACTGATCTGATAATCTGGGAAAAAATATCTCATGCTGGAAAAAAAGCCTCCAACTAACACTTATAAAACCTGTGTAAATGACCAGATTGCACTTATTTATCCCATGAGCGTATATTTTTATCCCTATTCCACACACACTGATCAGACACGCCCTTTGCAAAATGGAGGCAGTATCACTGCACCTGGTAAATCAACAAAAAATATTACCTCACTGAACTTGTATAAAAAAAACTGTAAATGTAAATGGGGCCCTAAAAAGGGTACTACATGTTAAATAAAAATGAACTCATTGTTTCCATGTGTTATATACCGACTTTAAAAAAAAAAAATATCTCTAGAATGGTAGCAAAATACCATAGAAAGAAAAATGAGGATTTAAAGTAAACCACAGCCAATCGCTTAACTGTACTCATGGAAATTGGATTTTTACACTTCTTTCTAAATGCATGGTAGAGCTTGTCTAAGATAGTAAATATGATCTGAGGACTAATCGTCAACAAAAATTATTTAAACTAAAAATTATTTTTAAAAATCCATCTACCAAGACATTACAAAAAGAATGCTTAATGTTGCAGATGAGAGGAGATGCTGTATCTGAGGATCAATTAAAGGAAACTGAGGAAAGGTCCTGGTTTAATATAAAATACCCCAAGTCAGATGCTTTGCCCGAGGGCAGGGAACTCTTTAACATGATTTTAAGCAACTCTGTGTAGTGTAGGAAACAAAAACTAAAAACCTCAAGGCAAAACATATACTACAAGTAAGAGATGTGAACTTACTAACATTATTCAATACTCTTAAGAATCTTGAGAAGATTATGGCAAATATACTTACGTAGTTTGTTTCCTGAGAAGCAGCCTCAGTGACCCTCCATTGTATATACAGACTGGATGAAATGGTCCCAGCAGGTGTATAAGTACAGTACAGGGTAACATTTTCTCCCACAGTTACATTTATTGCAGGGTTTTGAATGGTCACTGTCGCAGAGGACACCAAACCTACAACTGAAGAAAGTACCTTTTAGATAAGTGCATTTTGTATTTTAAATACCAACATGGTTATTTACTACATTCTGAATTCTCTCAAACTAATTCCGATTGGCAAACCTGAGGCAAAAATTGCAGAACTGTGACTGTAGCAGAGTTGGAGAATCTGTCTGAAGAAGCTATTTTTACCTCAGTTTTGGCATTCAGTTTATCATAAAATGTGTTCTTTAGTGAATAACCCATAAAAGGCTTCCCATAGGCTATCAATGACTACCTCAATAATGTATGACTATTGCTACTATTTTATAGGTCATGGTTTGAATAATTACATACTTTTATCTTTGTTCTGTCTATGCAACGATGATTATAAAGTTATGTTGCATTTTTTTACACTGAAATAGCTATAAAATAGTCTATGAATACTTAAAAAAAAAGAATATTGTTAATTAATCAATCTTGGCCTTAATTCTTTGACCATATGGTTTCCTTTGACTTTGAAGACCTTCAATCCAGAACTCCTTCAAAATATATTGTAGGCACTCTCTGTCTGTGCCATCAACATCAAAATCGCTAGCATTTAAACCCCATTCTCTATTGTGATGCTGGCCATTCAGTTACTTTAGTTTAACTTACCAGTAAAGCTCCATATTAATACGAATATCTTCATGATGAATTGTAGCTTTTCTCAAACGATTGGGAGGCACAAGGATCCAGGTGCTTCGTTGGTTGGGTTTTTGTCTAATGTGACTTCCACAAAGTGGTTGCTCTTATCGCTGAGCATCAGCAAGTCAACAAGGGTTTTCTCATTGAAAGGCTTTATCAAATACACTCCCCACCTTTCTCCCAATATGGCGCTGTGGCTTTTTTATGTTTTCAGTTGAACTAGATTTCAGGGTGTGTACACCTGATATATTTGTACACTTTGTTAACCCTATTGTAGCATGAGTCCTACGTATGCCTTTTTACACACTTCTTGACCTCAGTCAAATTATGTATGATTTTCACTGTGTATTTACTATAGTGCAGAAATAATATGATATTACACTGAAGTAATATAACAGTGTAAAAAAATGATTAAAAGAGAAAAAAAAAGTGTTTGTTTCCACTTTTTTAATCACTATTAAACAACTGTAAAAAGTTAGGGAGATTTGCAGTTTGGGTATAAACAGTCGGATCAATGTCTTTCATTTACAAGGAAAAGTGAATTAAAATAAAATGATTTATTCTTTATACTGCACATAGAGGTGAGAATGCTGTGTATATATATATATATATATATATATATATCTTTTCACTGATAAATAATTCATTCAGTATTACTATTATTCATCATTGAACAGGTTTTGCAGTTTAAAATGTGTAGCGCTGGGGATGGCAACGTGGTGAACTTCTATTGGCTCCAAGTGAGTCTGGCAATGGCACTGCAGACTCAGTATGGTTAAGGCTTCGGAGGAGTTGTGGCAAGGTTAGGTTTTAAAGTCTCTTATAGTTACATTAAATCTGCTCTGGTGTGCCAGTTTTTAGCCAACACTTTTCAACTTTGCACAAAATTAATTCTATGCTGTAGATAATAAAAAATAACATAAAGACATATATCAATTAAGATGTGAAATGTCATAAGTGATAAGGTAGTATGAGTATGGTAATGGTGGGAATTAGATAGTACTTGTATAATAAATAAGCAAAGCATAAAAAACTATTAATTAAGTTAAAACACGGATTACCATGAAAGCTGCATATACTTTCCTATACATTATATTTATATATTATATTTTGATATATATATATTATATATATAGATTATGTGCTGAAAGAAAGCATGTTGAACACCAAGATATCCTTTAATATAATAATCATTCTAGTGGGAAGATGTATGTGCAGTTTAGATGGTGGAAGTAACTACAAAAGATGCCACTTTCGAAAAATGTTATATATCGATCTCAGAGATGTATTTATCTGGTCAACCTAACCCATCAAAGTTTGTATGCAGGGGTCAAGTCCTGGGGAAAAAAGTGTGGGAACTCACCCAAGATCCCACCCCTCCCTCCCACCCACCCAAAAAAAATTATACGCGCGTATGCACCTCAGCACCCATTCCTTTGCTATGCCAAATAATCATAGAAATAAAATGTCCCAGGGCCCACAGCTTCCCTAGGCCAAATATCATCCTTCAGGACTCATTTATTCCCTATACCAAATACCTCTCCCAGTTCCTACCTCTACTCTTTGCCCAATATTTAATGAAAAGTAATTTCAATTATTTCAATTTAAACAGCATATAGTTATTTTTCATTATTTCATCATTTTCATTATAAGAACAAGGACAGACTAATAATATTACAATTTAAATATTTATTATCCGTATGTAAAATGATTTCAGTTTGTGTGTGTCTGAGGGATGCAGTGTGTGTGTGTGGCGCAGATTGTGTATGTTAGGGGTACAGGGTGTGTGAAGGGTGCAGGGGTACAGTGTGTGTGTGTGTGTGTGGCACAGATTGTGCATATTAAGGGTGCAGGGTGTGTGAAGGGTGCAGGGGTACAGTGTGTGTGCAGAGGCGGCTCTAGACTTTATGAGGCCTTAGGCAAAACTCAAACATGAGGCCCCACTAACAAAAAGGTGAAAAAAATTGAGTTGCAATACATGCACACTGTCACATATACACACTGATGCACAGTTTACCTGTGTATGTGCCTGAGAGTGTGTCTGACAGAGTGTATGTGTGTGAATGTATGTCTCTGTGAGTAGGGGAGTGATGAGAGGGAGGGGCGGGGGGTGATGAGAGGGAGAGGGGGGTGATGAAAGGG